GAAACCATATCTCAAAGTGCCCATTTGCTGACACTTCCAGCTTCAAAGAGCCCTGGCCTGGGTAATACTAGAAAATGGAAACAGCCACTATTACCTCCAAAATCAGTAATAACCATCAGCTTAGACTGCCACTACAAGTTTTTAAGAAAGAAACGTATATGGAATATTGCCATGCTTACAACACTACTTGCCCTACCCTTGCAGTAAGGAAGTACACATAATTAAACAATTAGCATATCTAGAAACTTTTTTGAAGATAGGTCATGCCTAATATTATGCCACATTAACCATTCATTAATGCTTTTCACTTTTCATGGTAATGATCGATAACCGAAATAATACAGTGGAAGTGTGAATGTATTAATTCAAGCTCATTAGCAAATAGTTTGCATGAGTATAAAGAAGGTCAATACACCAAAGGCTAAATTGAGTCTGCCCTAATTTGAAAAAAAAAGTATCTAATTTTCACCTCCTTCCCCAAATTCAAGCATCGAGCTATATCAAAGAGCATCACTTATGATATAGCTGTTCAAAATTAACCATAAAAACACTGGATAGAGGATGAAATTTCAGATTCTGAAGCTGGATGACACAGATGCTATAGAGGGAAAATGATGGCAACAAGACAATAAAATCCAGAGCATGGGGAAAATGTTCAGGGTGGTAGGTGGCAGGCAATCAAATCCAGCAAGCTGTTTTAAAAGGATCCCTCAGGATCCAGGTTCTAAGCCTTATTTGGGCTTATTTGCATCTTACCCCAACTAATGTGTGGAGCATTTACACATAGTAACTGAGGACTGTGCAGTAGTTTACAATGCAACTACCAGATGAAAGTCTACCACAGCCTCAGGAGTTGTTGTGACATGAAATGAATCTGGGTGCAGCTGTGCTTTATGCTGGGCCACAAACCTGCAGGTTACAGAATCTATCTGAAGTACCCTCAGGCCCTGTGCTTGCTCCAACCACCAAGATGGAATAAGATGCAGTTGACCCAAGAGTATAAGAAGAGTATAAGAAAAAGCTTCCTATTCAGCTTTGCCAAAACAATATGGTGCTCCTCAGCTTTTATTTTTTAGTCTGACTCCTGGCTCCCTCTTTGGTCCTCCCTCCTGGTTTGTCCTTCAGTCCTCTCTTACTCTTCACTTCTGACTTATAGATATATGAGGCTGCTTTGTCTTAAGGCCAACCTATGACTTAGCCCCTGACACACAGAAAGCCCACCATCATAATATTTTGTCATTTTCATCTATTAAAAATATATAAATACAAGACAAGCAAGGAATTGAAAATCAGACATGGCAAAATAATATTTTAAAAAACTATAGATGCATGCAGATGTTTTCTGTAGTTAATACAGTTAGCAAACAGTATCATTTAGGTCCCTGAACTGTCAAGTACAGCAGTTTGCAAAATTATAGTTTACATTTAAACTACAGGAAAGGAAATACACATGTAATTATTACATGGAGAGACCTACTATTGTCCAGTAGGTGGTTTCAGTTCTTTTCTCCAGAGAACTGCTACATGATATGAAACTCATTGAACTTCTCTGCACCCCAGTACCTACAGTCCAAAGGTTCTGCACAAGTCATTTTGATCCACCTTAGAAACATATATAAACAGTGGAGTATTGTATTTGTTTTAATTACAAAATAGCACTGAAGTGATTATATCAGTTCCTGTACTGCACTGCAAAATGTTGGTTAAACTTGGGAGAGTTTAATTACAATATGTCTTTAAAGGGGCGGGGGGAGGAAATTAGCAAGGTTGCTGGTTTTTTGTTTTTTAAAGAAGCCCTGTTGTGCAAACCTATGTATACAGGGTGATTCATAATGAAGTATGCAGTTTCCATTTATAGTGAATGGAATTTATTATTATGAATCACCCTGTATATACATAGGCACATGCAAGTGTATTTTTTTTCAAGGCTGGAATTAAGATATGTTTGAATAATACTGTAGAAAATCATTATTGGATTTTTTTTTTAACCTGTAGCATCCAAGGTTGACATGCCATTAAAACACAGTAAGTAAAAATAGCACTATCTTTCCTAAAAATTATACAGCACAAGATTTAACCAGCTCTTCTCACAAATTGGTGGGTAAATGAATGGGGTGTGACAGAACTCTTGTTTAATGTGACCTTTGGCTGTGCTTTCACTTCTCACTAGCTGTTCTCAGGGGCAGTGCATAAGCTGCCTTATATTACCCCTGGAACTATCATAATATGTCATTCAGGAAGCATTTAATATTAGTACAGGTGAGTGACAGAGCATACTTGCAATATTTAATATCAATGCTTTACAGGCCTTTTTCAATAACGTTTTTTATATTGTGAAAAAAATACAAATGAAAAGGTTAAGATAAATAAAAAACTTCCAAAAAGAGGTATATTACTGGGGATGCACTTCGACATAAACTACAAAATACAACACATTCTACTGTTATATGCTGCGATGTATCTGACCTTTGTAAGTATGTGGGTTTTTTTTTTAAAAAAAGCAAAACTGAAAGACTAATGTAAAAAGCAACCAAGGTATTCATAAAGGTGTTACGAACAAGGTTTACAAAACTTAAGCAATCAAAAAGAAAGAACCCCCCCCCAACTTGTCATTGCCTAATGCTGTTCATCTAATACAGGAGAGAGAAAAGCCATTGATACACACTCTATACAAGTTTTTTATCCATGTATATAAATCAAAGGAAACAGCTTCCTTTAAGGCAAGCATATGAAGATACTAAAGCAAGATACCAATTAAATATTCATACATTCAATATTTCAAAATAAGGAATTTGGATATACACATGCATAATTTAAGTTCTATAGTGAAACATATCTACAGAGGCCATTTCTACTGTACTGCAACAGCATCCCAACTTGAAATGTACAATGCATCCTTTCCCATGCCCTGTTAAACTTTAAATTCTATAGTAATTCATCTCAAGCACTAAACACAGAATAAAGGCCATGTTGTGCACACAGCACATTTATCAGAACTACAGCTTTCCCCTCATCATTTTACTACTCATTGCATGAAGGAGATACTACATTCCCCTACAAAAAAAGAGAGGCTGGGAAGGCTGTATTAAAATAAGCAGACTTACTGAATTTTAAAGTGAATTAAAAGTTTAGAGTTAACTGTAAAACATTTACAGCAGCTGAAGTCACAGAGGTGATTTATAGAGACATGCGCACAAGACCAAACTATTTATTCATATTTAAGGTAAGAGCCGTTTTGCATCCTTGTCCAGTAACCCACACACAGGTAACATCTGCAGAATGATTTAGTTAGAACACATCTCCATCCTACTCGTCACTGGCTTTTCCCTGCCATTTATCTCCGCTTTACTGTCCAATCAATTCAGGACACTTTAAACACCAGTAGACATCGATCTTCCCTGGGCCCAAAAACATGTCAGTTTTCTGAGCATTCTTTCTGTATGAACTTTTCTTCCATTATTTACATGATATTTTATGTGCTCCACCCCCGGAAAGATGGTGCTTTCTCATGAAGCCCCTCTTCCTTCTAGGATCTCGCTCCGAGTAGACTTTCTGCAGAGTTGAAGGAGCAGCAAACAATGTAATCTAGCAACTGTTAGTAATAGCCTGCTGGGTGTTTATGCATTTATCATTGCTGTGGCGTACCAGGAGGGGGCTCCATATGCAAAATGCCCCAGGGAGGCAAAGCAGGGTGCTGAGACTGTGTAGACACCACCCGGACTCACTATGTGAACAAAGGGCATCTGCATCCTACGCTCTCTGTATGCAGAGGCCAAATCGTGCATAGAAATTAGTGTAATGCAGGAAGCAGAGCATCTTAGAAATAGAAAGAAAAGTATTAAGGGATATTAGAGATGGAAGGAGAGACTGGTGGAGCTAGAACTGTCTACATTAGGTGTGATTCCACAGTAAACATTAGATGACATTAGGAATGACACTTTGTAGGGCAGGTTAGTGTTTGTAGTGAAACTTACTGAGCAAGACCTCCATTTAAAAAGAAGAGGCTACTCAAGTTTGACTGAGCTCAGAAAATCTTTCACCTATTCTCTTAGCAAGTGCACGTTCTGAAAGCAATCATGAAGCTTCAACAAATTACTGAATGACAGTGCAACAATTGTCTGTAAAATGGGTTGAATCAAGAGAATCTTTCCTGCAACAGAGAATGTGTCTCTATATCCAACACATATAGAAAGTGTACACTAGTTGTGTAAACTATGGAGAAGAATGTGTTCACTTTTGCACCAAAGGTTAAATATTTATCTTTATATAGCTATGGAACAGAAAAAACAAGATTGTGAACAGGTAAGTAAGTACGCAGTCACAAGTTACAAAATGTCATGTAAAATGTGTACCTACAAGGAGAAGTACTTCATATGCAGAAAATATATCTATCTATTGGCCTTGCAATGAATATAAACTTGCCTCAAAGCTAATACTTTAATTTTCAAGAAGCAAGTAAGGGGATAAAAAAAAAAAACCTAGTCAGTAACAATGCAGCGTCGAAAAGCAATAAAATCAAAATTAAGTTATAAATAATTTAAAGCTTGTCATGAAGATGTATTAATAATTCATCAGATAAATAATTTACTAAATAATCAAATAAATAAATAATGAAATACATAAATAAATCAGCAAATAAATAATTCTGCAAAATAACCTAAACAATAAGTCACTAAAACAAATGACAGCCCTACAAAACTATAATGATTTTCTAAATTCTGATAGTTTTAAATAAACAAATGTATATAAAGTAGATCAATCTTTGTTAGATAAAAAGATATTTTTTCAGTGATACTGGTGAATTCCTGATTACACTGCAAAGGCTACACTTTAAATTTCATAAGAATGGAGCTATCTTCGTAAATTAACAAAACTGCTACTATATATCTTGTCCCTTACATTCCATGTGCTCCCTTTGTACAACTAATTTTTCATCAAATATATATGGACAGGCACTTTATAATATTTTTAATTCACATTCTTTTCAATGCAGTACTTACAATACTGCTACAGCCCTCCTTCGTAGATTTCTTACTATCTTCTTCAATCCTTCAGAAGTTTTGCTGCAGGGAAAAACAAGTGGAATAACCTTAATTATTACAGATGGTATCTCATTCATTAGTGGATGACAACATTTTATTTGAAAGCATACGAAAAGCTGTTTTATAATTCTACAAAGCAACTTAATGTGAAACAACCATTACTGTTTGCCGACTACCTAAAGTTTTTAGAAGTCTTTGGTGGAATGATTTCAAGCAGACTGATGTGTGTTTGTTGTATTTAAACTGACACACAATCTGTGCAAACTGGCAGTCATTCAGTTATGAAGACAAAATGTGAGAAGGACAAAATGCTTGGCTGACTTCTAAATCCTTTCTCAACGTTTAAAGCTCATAGTCCTTGGAAATATACAGAGGTTACCAAGTTTTTACTATCTGAATGCACTCACCATTTAAAATTAAAACAATACCATCCACATCCTTGAATGGTAATATCAATCAGGGGCAACCAGTAAGGTAAAGGTAAAGGGACCCCTGACCATTAGGTCCAGTCATGGACAACTCTGGGGTTGCGGCAGTCATCTCGCTTTATTGGCCGAGGATTTATCAGAACTGCCAGAATGGCCAGACGTCACGCCCAATCAAATTAAGAGGCTAATCGCAAGCCAACTAGCTAATAAAGCTCCAGGAGAAGACATGATCCCGATGGAGATCTATAAAATAAGACCTGATTTCTGGTCACCCATATTTGCAAAATTGTTTTCATACATTAACAGCTCAGGTCGTATACCTGAAGGGTGGAAGTTGAGCATAATTGCCCCAATATATAAAAAGGGTGATAAGAAAAACCCTGCCAATTATAGACCCATTAGTTTGTTAGATGTAGCTTCCAAACTATATGCCAGGCTCCTTCTTGGGAGACTAGAAGAATGGGCAGATACAAATAAGGTGATATCTGAAGTCCAGGCAGGTTTCCAAAGAGGGAAATCCACATTGGACCAGTGCTTTGTGCTGAACTTTCTGCTATGTAAATACATCCATAACTTGAAGCAAAAATTATATGTTGCTTTTATCGATCTAAAGTCAGCTTTTGATACGGTCCCAAGACACGCTTTGTGGCAAAAATTGGAAAAGACAAATATAGATCTCCGTCTATTATTTCTCATCAAAACATTATATACTGACACATCAATACAAGTAAAGGTGGGTCTGGCTGGCCATCTCACCACTAGAATTAAGACCACCACTGGAGTCAAACAGGGATGCATTTTGGCACCTTTCCTGTTCAATTTTTATATTAATGACATGGTTAAAGAACTGGAGGGCCTACAGTTTGCCCCTGTCACAATTCTCGACCAAAAACTCTCAGTTTTAATGTATGCTGATGACCTAGTACTTGTATCTAGAACCCAGGTGGGCCTGAGACGGCTGCTTGCAAAATTAAGTTCATATTGCATGAGGAATGCTTTATCTATAAACTATGACAAGACGCAGGTCATTGTATTTGGGAAGCGTTCCAAAAAGCATGTTTGGCACCTGGATGAACACATCATAAACCAAGTAAATACGTTTAAATATCTGGGATTGATTTATTCAGAAACGGCATCTTGGAATACACAGCTATCCAATATCAAATTGCAAGCCTTTAAATCAGCAAAAGCCATTCTGAAATTCGCTGCATGTAAAGGTGGAAATCTGGTCAACCCAGCTCTATCTGTGTATAAAGCAAAAACAATGGCCCAGATTTTATATGGCGCAGAGGTTTGAGGTACCTCAAAGGTCTCCGGTCTGGAACCCCCACAGAATTATTTTTTAAGAGTTCTTTTAGGTTTACCCAAAGACGTGCAATCTGCCATGGTCAGGTTGGAAACTCACATGTTGAGCATAGAGAGCCAAATAGATAAAAGAATTCTCTGTTACTGGTTTAGAGTTCAACAGATGGACAACACTAGGCTACCAAAAAAATGCCTGATTGAGCTCTCAAATGGATTACCCCTTAAAAACTGGGTACATCATGCTGCCCAACTGATGGGCAAATATGATCTCTCAGTGACTGAGATTAAAGAACTCCCCTTATATTCACAGAAAAATATTTTTAAACGAACCATAAGGGCAGTGGCAACTAAAAACGATCTAAACTCTATGTGCACATCCTTGCAGACACAGATAAGTATGTGACCTGGCGGGTAGCACTTTTTGCAACTGCTGCCAGGAAAAGTAGAGCAAATTATATAGCCAAGGTAGCCATTAACTGTAAAGGAGATGAATTTATTTGATCCTATCTATCTACCTCAGGCTATGCTCTATCTTTGTCACCAAACTCTGAGTATAAATTGCACACTGTATTAATTGATATTGTTTTTAACATTAGTGACCATGTGATGATTTTAGCTTATGAATTTTATTGTTTAATGTTTTTATTTGTACATTGGGGTACTTTTATAGCTTTGTTTAGAGTATGTAATGTTTTAATAATATAAATGTTTTAAGCCTTTTTTTACCAATTCAGTATATTTACTTTTAACTGTCAAATAATTCTGTGTACATTGCGGCAGCCTTTGGCTATGTGCAATAAAACTGACTGAGACTGAGACTTATTGGCCGAGGAAGCCGGCATACAGCTTCCAAGTCATGTGGCCAGCATGACAAAGCCGCTTCTGGCGAACCAGAGCAGCACACGAAAATGCCATTTACCTTCCCGCCAGAGCAGTACCTATTTATCTACTTGCACTTTGACATGCTTTCGAACTGCTAGGTTGGCAGGAGCTGGGACAGAGCAACGGGAGCTCACCCCGTCGCAGGGGTTCAAACCACCGACCTTCTGATCAGCAAGTCCTAGGCTCTGTGGTTTAACCCACAGCGTCACCCGTGTCCCGGGGCAACCAGTAGAATGTTACAAATAAAAATTCATTCAGGATTTGTTTTAGTATGCTAAATTGGAGCTCCAAAGCATTGTACTGCAAAACATAGTGGGACAAACATGTTCCCAACTATACTAATTACAGTGAGTAGAATTATTTCCCACTACAGTACTGATATTCTAAGAGTTCTCTGTATTCTAAGAGTTCTCTATTTTATGGAACTGCCTTGAAATGTAATCATTACCTGGTCCTGGTTTCTGGTAAATAGCAACCTAAAAGCAAGACTTGTAGAATTTCAAAGGTGCTTAGGTCTATTCTTACAGTTCCTGGACTTCTTTTGTGGATAAAGTCTGAACTATTTAGGGGACCATAATGAAGAGACAATCATACAAAAAACTATTTGTTATACATAATCCATTGAACACATTTCCATATCTCAACAAGGAAAATCAATATTGGAAGTGAGATGTGTTTTGCTGCATGGTTATGCCAAATTACCTGTAATTTTCCTGTCCATATTTATGGAAACAAACTGAACAGCTCCAGGTCTGCTATAATTTAGACTATCTCACTGGACACCTCTTGTAGACCAAACTATTAAACTATTTGTGTGGAGTTGACTAAGATTAGCTTGGTCTGTTAGACATACAAGATTTCTATTTATTTCTTTATTTCATAAAATTTATATACCGCTTTACTGCAAAAAAATCAAAGCAGTTTACAAAAATTATTGCTAAAAATTAGCAGCCATAATTTAAAGCATACAGAAAGAGTAAAACACAATAGATACCAAAAGCAAGGAGTTCCAAAATGTTGGTGCTGCCATACTAAACAACAGAGTTCTTACAGATACAGGAGATCTATCTTATAGTTACTTACTGTTTTCTTAAGGCTGTCCATTATTAGAACCAATGCATTATACAGTCACACGTTGAGGGCTACATTAGTACACCTAAATGGCATTCTAAACTGCTGTTTTCTGCTCTAGTTTAAGCAGTAGGAACTGTTCATAAAGACATCCAAGATACATGCTGCATCTCCTAAGAATCCTCTTAAGTCTTTCATATAGTAAACAATAAATTTCAGTTTAAAGGATAGGTGCAACTAAGTGGCATCTTAGTATTAGCAGGAATTGCATTTAAGCTATTAGATAAAATGTGGGGAAGGGTAGTTCAGTGGTAGCAGCACATGCTTTGCATGCAAGTTCAATCCCTGGCATTTCTAGGAAGGGCTGGGAAATACTTCCTACCTAAAACCCTGAAGAACCTCTTCCAGTCAGTGTGAACGTTACTGCGCTAGATGGGCCATAGCAGCTTCTTAGGTTCTTGTGTTTTTTTCTAATTCTTTAAAATACTGTACAGCAGCATAGTTCCATAAATATAAGAAAGGTGTGTTTCTAATGATTACCAAGAGGAACAGTCTTTCAAAAGCAAACAATGAGCATATGATGGTGGGAAGCAATGCTTGATGCTGAGTATATAGACATGGTTAGAACTGTGTTATTACATCCTATGACACTTACTTTTGAGTAGACATATATAGGAGTGTACTGTGAGTTATGCAAATAATTTTGAACATGTTAACTTTCTCTTTAAAAAAAATCAGGTCCAGTAAAAGGAAATAATAGCAAGACATAGGCTGAATGGTAATAACTGAGTGCTGAGGACAAAAATCTTTGAAGTAATCACAGAACTTACAGAGGGATGCAAAACTTGTTACAAGAGCTATCTCATTGTATCTGCCACTTCAACACTGTTTCAATTATTAACTCAAGTGGTCAAATTCATTGAAATTTGATGACATTTGCACAATAAAGTTCTACTATTTTCCATCTAAGGTATTAAATATAAGGAGTTTTCAAGGACACAGAACTATGGTGCAAGAGTTACATTAAACTAATGCATGGCCACCTTTTTCCAAGAATACCATCCAGCTCTGGAAACTTTTGATTTATGGATATACTGTTTTAAAGCAGTTCATACATTAACAAAAATGCAAGAAAAGATGGCAATACTGTTGCAGCTCTTATCCTATTGGCAGCATATCTACTTTAAATGGGGTGTTGTTTATTTGTTGCATATAGCAGAATTAATGACACTAGAATTAGCTTACCCTTCTTGAAGCATTATATGAGATTATTCCTTGGTCTCTTCCTCTTTGATTTAGTACACCTTTTAAGATTATTTATTAATGTTTGGATAT